TTTTAAAATTCCAAATGTGGCACATAGAATCACAGTTCTTTGGAGAGAAAATAACAAAACGCCTATTTGAGGCAAATAAAATATGTATATAAACAGTAAGGTTTAATAAAATGTTAACACAGCCATCACGTAGAAAACGGCACGTACGAGCAGCAGCTAGAATTAAATGAAAATGTTAAAAAATAATGAATAACATTAAAAATGAGTTATTTAAATAATAAAGTGTAACTAAATAATCAGACTCATTAATCAGTTGAAAACAAACTTATATTAATAGGAACGTCAAATAGTTTTTCAAAGAATAGTTACCTATTATTTGTTATTAAATATGACAAACATTAATAACATCGTCAAAAAATTCTAAAAATGGCACATTCAATCACAGCCCTTTGGTAATAAAATAAGATAACAAACCAAACGTTCGTAACATTTAAATACCTAAAAAATCTTTAGAAATAGGTAATACAACCCGACAACCGCCATGCAGAAAGAGAAATTAAATTAAAAAATGTTTATAAACATTAAATAGGTACCTACTTAAAAAGTGTTCCTCAATCAGACTAACAACAGACTTAATCAGTTGAAAATAAACTTTGTATTGAATATTAAAGGAAAGTCAAATATTTTTTGAGATATCTATCATTTGTTGATGCATGATATACTTTGATGACATTTTGAAGTGCAGAGAACATTATTCTTATAACATGCACACCTTTTGGTGTGACATTGATTTCTGGCAGGCCTGCAGGAGCATTTCTGGAAACCTTGACCTCCAAACATGGACTGACATGTGACTGCATGACGCAATGTTATAAATGATTCAGAAATGTCTCCATTATAATCTTTGGCTGAAATTTGTAATTCTTGTCTCGGGAACCAGTTTTTTATTGTTCCAGAAGTAGTACCAATTTTAAATACACCATTCCTAATGTCAACAATTTTACCTGCGATGTTCTTGGTATCAAGTGGTCCACGATCAAATTTTGGAACATTTATCAAGACGCTATTACCAACTTCTAAATTTCTAATAACGGAAGCTTTTTGACTGTTTGGTCAATCATTTTTTCTGCAGCCCGTTTGGTACCTTTAAGAGTTTGTGCTCTTTCTTTTGCAATGTCTTGTTCTCTTTTGCATATGAAACATAAAATCTGAGACCCGTAACCTTCTTCACCGTCAGTGAGACCACATATAATGTGAACTGGTTTAAAGCACGATCTACAACTATGAGCTCCAGTTGTTTCTTTGGTACAAACCAAACAAATCTGCGTATTGCAGTCGGCTTTCTTAGTCGTTAGTGACGTGTCGCTACTGGCTGAAACCCCTTGAATTGAAACGACAAAAACATCTTTGCTAGTAGAAGCTCTGTTAACAGTTTGCAAAGCTAAATCTTCTATACAGGACGTATCATTTCTGGGTGAACAATTAGTTGCTTCAAGTTTTTGTTCGGCGGTTTCAATATTTTCTATTTTCAGATCTTGATTGGCAAGCGCCGTTGCCGAATTTACACTTGTTAGGACGTTCTGTACACTTAATGCTTTAGGAACATTTATTTCGGCCGAAACCATCTCAACATCAAGCGTTAGTGCTTTACTACTTAAGCCATCAACATTTGTCCCTTCAGGCAAGATTATCTCCATCGAGGTTGTCGTAATATTCATCTTTTCAGTTTCAATAGATGAAATAACACTGTCTGCGATATTGGCAGGCGCCGGTGCCGCATTTATACATGTTGGGGCATCCTGTACACTTAATGCTTCAGAAATATTCACTTTGGCCGAAACCATCTCATCATCAAGCGTTAGTGCTTTACTACTTAAGCCATCAACATTTGTCCCTTCAGGCAAGATTATCTCCATCGAGGTTGTCGTAGTATTCTTCTTTTCAGTTTGAATAGATGAAATAACACTGTCCGGGATATTAGTACCTTTCAGTAATGTTTTGGGGTCAGAACCGAACAAGGCACGATAGGGTGATCTACCAATTATACGATGAAAAGATGAATTTTTATAATACTGTACGAAGTAGCAACCCACAGACCAATTAGCAGAATCATTATCTTTCATCCAACAACGCAACATGTTTTCTACGTCTTGGTTGCTACGTTCGACGCTTCCTTGCGTTTGAGGACGTCTAGGGCCTCCATGAACGATCTTGCATTCTGGCCACAACTGCACAAGTTCTTCAATGACATGAGCTGTAAACTCTTTCCCATTATCAGATTGTAAAATTAATGGTGCACCAAACTCCAAAAATATTTTAAATAGTTCAAACGCCACCTCCACAGCCCTCTTAGATTTCAATGGCCTCAAGTGTAGAAACTTGGTAGCATGGTCCTGATAATTCATTAACCACTTGTATTCCCCGTCCGGAGCTGATTGTAAATCAATAAGGTCTACCTGACCTCGTGAGTTGAAATCTGGTGATATAATTGGTTTTGTCACTATACCTTTTTTTGGCATGGAACGTTTCATTTCACACACTGCACACAATTTAATGTATATTTCTATAGCTTTTTTCGGTATGTGAAATTTGTTTTTAATACTATATATCATTTTTCTCTGCCACCATGCCCAACAGCTTTGTGAACTTCTGTTAATATATCAAAATATTCATCTACGGCGACTATGCGCACTGTAGGATCATCGGCAGTTTTTCTTTTGAAAATTAAGTAATCTTTGTCAGAAGTTTCCATGACATCATATTTTGCACTCCAATAATAGTCCGAAGAGACCCGCTGCATGGTCACCCTACTTCTTTTTATTTGTTCAATAACCTAAAAAATAAAATGGAACTTTAGCGTACAAACATTAGTTACTTAATCAATCTAAGAATTTTAATACATAATGACATGAGAGAAACGCATCACCTACACATTATTATGCAAAAATAAACACTTGTTTATCAACTAAATACTAACCTCTAAAATACGTTGAGAAGTCCATGGTTTTTTTACATTGTGCGAAGAATCTTTATGTCCCTCATAGAAATCAAGTAACTGATGGTAATATTGTTCTTTAAATGCACTTTTTGTTTCGTTTTCACTGTTCATTTTGATAATATCAACACCACATTCACTTGTTTGTAACGCCGCCATCTTCCGCTCGCGTAAACAAAGCCGAGCGCGCGAAGACAGCGGAATATCGACAAATACGTTATTCTCGTCGATCTGCCCAACCTTTTACTTGGCGCATCGCGATATGCCCGGCCGAATCATGATGTGCCGGCGTTTCAAGAAGTGCCCGGGCATATCTCGATCTGGCCAATCTAACGATAAGCCCACGACATATATATTACCGAAATTTGTATTACCGTTTCAAGATTATCCATTACGAAATTGTAAATATATTTATTGCCAAACTTTGTTTTATTATTATGATTGTAGTAACAAACCCACTGAAAAGACTACCACAAGACTAGTATAATAGGTATATTACAGGAAAAGTGTTTTTAGACTCATACAAAAATACATAAAATTAATCTATTTGCCAAAATACAATTAGTTTGTTAGGATTTACTTGTATTATACTTAAACAATATATTTACAGATTTTAATGCATTCGAATCTGATCTCCGAAGTCGTAGGTTCGATCCCCGGCTGTGTACCCGTGCACTTGTCTATGTTCACATATAATACTCGCTCGTAGGGTGAAGCTTAACATTGTGAGAACACTGACATGCCTTAGACCTAATAGAATTATAGAGAGTGACAGTGAAGTTGAATAAGGAAATCATCTCGAGTTGCGAGCGAAACCTGGAGTCCAAAGGGAATATATAAAATAATTATTAGCGGAATATTGCTTACATTCTTTTAAACATTAAAAAATTTCGCAACGGAAAGTAACTGTCTGACTTGACTTTATGATTGACTTTTATTGCCAGGCGAGAGAAATAATTTAAAATACATCTATTTATAGATAATTATGTAGTTTTATTTTTAATTCATTCTATACAGAATATATATATGGCTGTACAGCCATATATATAATATGCGAAGCGCATCACATCTGCTTCTTCTATTACCACTAGGTACTTCATAGCGATCACGACCGCTCTGTCAAGAGTGTACCGGATAGGAAGAAGATACAGCCATATTATATTATACATTATAATTTTATGAAATTATATGAAAGGTTTTATAGATGATGTAGATAAGTTTTACCCCCTATTGTCAAAAGTATTTTCAAATTATGATTTTACTTAACAGTTTTAATGAACCAATAATTTTTCACAAACAGCAGATACCAGAAGCACCAAAGACCGAAGTCTGATTCTTAAAATAAAACAAAAAAGTGAACATTGTTTTATTAAATACCTACCTGTGTTATCTCAAGTTTTTATGAACTAAGTATTTCATACATGCAAAATAGTTAATCTAAACATTAGAGTTAAACTGCATAGATTTGGCTAAAAAAATGTAGTTTATGGTTTTTCATCTTAACCGCAAGCGTCAGATTTGAAAACCATGGTTTAACTTTTATAATTATATAATTTTTAATAAGGACTTAACGAACAATGGATTTGGGACGACTCGTCGGAGTCGATGAGACGTAGCTTTTTCTATTATAAAAATGGTTTTAAATATAGGTACATTTACTGCCAGTAATTCTTTGTAACCGTACTCTAATCGAGTAGGTTTGCGAAGAACGGACGAGAAGCTCTGTCACTTTTAAATCGCCAAGGTTTTTTTTTACAAAAGTAAGCACCTGCAACCATTACATCATGCTCATAATCGCATGTAAATTTTACAAGTAAGGTAAGGTAAGTTAAGTTTTACAATGTACCTTATTGAAATTAAATAAATAAATAAAAAAATTCTGATCTGTAGCTGTCACTTAACTTTTATACTTGACATTTCTTGTCAGTTAACACTTAACAGTTTATTTAATGCTGAATTCTGATTTCTGAAGCGATTCTGATTTTCAGATTACAGTTTAAGATGCTAATAAATATAAACACAAAAATTTATAAATTATGAAATAGTAATAATTCATAATACTATTATGAATACGTTGAATCCGAAGTCGATTGTACGTTGCATAGGCTGTTTATGTGAAGAAAGTGTATCAACATTCAAATTAAAAAGTGAACTTTTGCGGGTCGTTTTTCAGGTAAAATTTTGCCAAAAGGAGCTGGAATGCACACAAAGACTTTATTATGTTTTATTTGACTACTGTAGTATTATTTAAAAACAAGAACTATGAAACAGCAACATCTTAATATGGTCTATGCCTCACTTCTTACTCTTGCTGTTCATAATTACTTATCTTTTAGGATTTTATTATAACAAGAAAATAGCCATGAAGATAGTTAATGTTTGAGCCCTTGTCATATAGCCCTATAGTTAACCTTTCCCTTGTGACCCTTTTTAATTATATTTTTTCAGGAGGATTGTTTAAAACTTTGTTATATTTGTAAGAAATTGGCATGTAACGCAGATTTATTTGTGAGAACAGTTCAGACTAATCAATTAAGGCTGCAGAGTTTAATAAATGTAAGTTACTATTGAAATGTTTTTAAACTTTTATAATCTTTTGAAATTTTTTTACCTACAATTTCCAGAAATTATTATTTATATAATAGTACAAACACCAACCAAGTACACAATTCAATTATTAATGTATGATGTATATCATACTTTACTAAAAGTATTATTATTATTAACATGTTAAAGTTACCATGATGAGAGTACCTTTCATGATATTTAATTTTTCTGAAACTGATGCATTTACAGTTTTAATAATAGTGATTTCTTTGTTTTCTGTGTAGGAAGGTATGTAAAAAAATTGCATTAAATGTTTATCATTTGAATTTTTTTACTTCTAGGGCTCTGATATCACAGACCTTAAGATAGAATCTCACCCAATTCTTCAGTTACAAACTAAAATTATAGATCTAGATAGTCATGAAATAGATGAACTCACACCAAGAATAGAACAAACCAGTAATATTGGAGTGAAGTTAGAGAAAAATGATGAAAGAGATGATGAAGTGTGTGATGAAATCCAGGATGGATCGGATAATAATGCAGGTTTGTTTAAAACATACTGTTTCAAATAATTAAAATCATGCAACTTTACTTTAATACATATGGTTTGCCTGTTATGCATACTACTATAAATTGCTGTGTTTATATTTTTTGCCTTCTTTTTATTTTAGGACACTTTTTTACATATCTTGTATTTGTAACGTGTCTGTCATGTTTCCTTATTGATAAATAATGAAATACACTTTGTCAATGTTCTCAGTCATCAGAACAACAATTTTTAACATACTTAACTAATTAGTTAATTACCTTTTATTTTAAAATGATACTTTGAAAACACATAACAATACTTAAGATTAAGTTTTTAATTATTTTTTTTGTAATTGAACCAGAAAATATATTTATTTTCAGAATGTGATTTGCCGTTAATTAAACAAGAAGATGTTAAAGACATTAAAATTGAACTAAGTTTTCTAGATAAGGATGAAATGATTAAAAAATGTAAAAAAAAAGTCATAAAAAAGAAAACAGCTAGGAAAAAAGTAGAATCATTTAATGAAAACACAGACGATAGAACTGATGGTAAGTAGAAATAAAAAAAATACCATCAATAATAATTATCTCATAAACATGCTATAATCATCATATAGTTATTCAACATCTTATTACTTAAATTTCTTACTAAGTAAATAAATTCTATACTTATAATAAAGAATAACGGCCTGGCCACGGGGATCGGCGGTGCGAACGGCGAAGCGGGAGGCGAGGCGACCATTCACGCGGCGCCGTTTGCAGGCCACGCACCAGTCACGTTCGCCGCCGCGACCAGTAAGGAAGTTCGACAGCGAAATGTCTTTATTGAAATTATCTCGATATTGCTTGGAAAGTAAAAGCTTTTGGTTCAAGACCTAATATTTGGAAGAGATTGTGGAGTACATGATTTAAATAAGAATCGAGGTATAGATGAGAATTTCACAAGAAGTACGAGAAATACAGAATATGTCCACAAAATTTTTTTGAGTATACCAGAATGACTATTGAAACCTTCGATTATATTCTTATAAATATTCAACCAGAATTGGAAAAAAGATAATGCAAATAGAATTTTAAGTGCTGCTGAAAATTGTTTTTGACATTAAGGTATATTAAATTTATGCTGTGTTTGGCCAGACCTCCAAATAGCTGGTCTTGACAGTATTTCAGTAATAAAAAACTCTGTATTCATTTTTCGCCGCGAAAACGACTAAACTTATTTAATCCCTGCTCTATTCGCCGCGACTGCCGCTCGACTCCGTGGCTTGCGCCGTACTGATTCATGCCTTTGTTTCACTCGCCGTCCGCGACTCCAGTCGCTCGCGCGATTCGCTCGGTACATTTCGCCGGTCGCCGTTGCGCGTGGCTTGATTAGTACATTGCTATGAGTTTATTTCAGTCGCTAGACGCTTCGCCGTTCGCACCGCGCGAATATTCGCATCGGCGAATGTCCCGTGGCCAGGCTGTTAAACTTTATTAATTAGACCTTCTTTCTATATAATTGCTCATAGTAAATTTATAATAGTTCCTCCAAATTTTGCCAACTATTACATAATTTAAATCTTTTATTAAGTGGATATGAATGGTCATCCACATGACTGGCACGGTAAAATATTTTTTTTTATGTCAATACAATATATTATATCCTATCCTGGTGGAACAAATTTGTCCTAATTCCTTAATCAGTCATAAACAGGCCTCTCCCTTAGTTAAACTGTTTAGAGCGACCCCTGCACTGTGTGCACTTAAAGGAACAAACTAATAAAAAATTATAAGGACATTGGACATTTATATAGGAAATAAATGGTAACACAATTATCTATTTTCACAGAGACACCAAACATAATATTAGTGAATATATCAACAGAAGACTTTATGAGAGAACGTGAAGAAATGGCGAAGAAAAATCTTTACATGGCTGCCAAGTACAAGTGCAAGGATTGTATAAAAGGTTTCATATACAAGGAAATATATGATAAACATATGAAACTGCATTTAAAGGTATAATTCTAATAAATATTATTAGTTAGATCAAACACGCATATTTGGTCAACTACTTCAATTGTAAAGTAATATAAACATGAATTCGCTATTTGTTGTGTTAATTATTATCTATTCTAAGATTATAAATGGATAAGTTTGAACCGATTTTGAAAATAATTTTAAACATATTTGTCGGAAATGCCATTTATTGGTAAAATTATATAGAGTGATATGTCACTCTCTATTGAGGCCCAGCCCAGCCTTATATGCCCCACAATCTAAATTGTATTCTTCATATTATAATTACTCTGTATTATGACTCTCGCGCATGTCAAATCCAGTGTGATGACAGATGGGCAAAAGAGAAGATGCCCACCAGGGGAAGAATTGGTATATGGGAGCGAGTACGAGACAAGTGGAAGAATTTGTAGGAGGCCCTTAACACGTGGACTTAATTAAATCCTGATTATGTAGTACTCAAATACAGGCTATTTTTTATTATGTCAAATGTAATGTTTGACAAAGAGAAGTCATTCCCAAGTCTAGGTCATTGTCTTGAAAATAATGAAGGGTATATATTTTTCAGAGTAATGGTAAATACATGTGTGAAATTTGCAAGCAAAGAATGGATTCAGTAGAAAAATTAGCGAGGCACAAGAAAAAGCATTTAATGTATGTATTATTTGTTTATATTCTCTGATTTTAAGTCATTATTACTTTGATAAAAAAAGAAATTGATTTTTCTATAGAATTTATAAGTAAAATATTCTCATATTCTAAAATCTCAAGAAGTATGTAGACAATATGCGTACCAATTGTTAAAAGGTCGGTAATGCACTCGCGAGTCCTCTGGCATTGAGTGTCCTCATCGAGAAACACCTCGCTTAAGCCAATGCCAACACTCCTCTAATTGACATAATTATATACTTTAATTTCAGTCGTTATAAATGCCAGGAATGCGGAATAATAAGGAATAATCATAGCACAATAAAGGATCATTATACATCAGTACATAATAAGCAAAACATACTCTACCAATGTCCGGACTGTTCTAGAGAGTTCTTGTGAGTATTTAATATTCTAATTCCAAAAATCAATGATTTTCAAATTAATTTCAATTGGTGGATAAAATATATACACAAGGTTATAACATACTGTTCGAAATGGCTTGATGGATTTTTATGAAACTTTCCCCTATCCCTAGGCCGTTTCTCCACTGCTCCGGTCCGGCAAACGTTAATTACCGATCCGATATAGAAACTCACAACAGTACTTACGTACTTCTCCACTACTCCGGCATCCGGTTTTTAACGATCCGATAACTTGCTAGATCGGAACGCGGTGTTTTATCGGTCCAAGTATATCCAAGAGGTTATAAATTATTATTCACAGGTTTATTTATAATTTGATTAATTTGAAAGAATCTGGATAACCTGGACCAAACCAAATTATGTTGCTATTTATTTATATTTTTATACCATAGTATTAGTGAACTATTTATTAAGTAGATTATAATATTTTTTAAGATAGACAATTTAAAAAAAAATAATAAACTTGCCAGAATTTAGAACGTTTTATTAATAAAATAAAGTATATGGGTTTTAGTTAATATAGGTGTTGCATGATAAATATACAAGTATCGATTATTGTCGGATCGGATATAGTGGAGAAGCGCAATCCGGCCTTCCGATATTTTTCTCATGACTCATCCGGTATCCGACGCCGGACCTGAGCAGTGGAGAAAGGGCCTAAGGGAGCGTTCAAGTATTACGTCACGCAATTTTTGGAGATTATTGACCCCCCCCCCCCATGTACGCGCCGTAATGTTTTTCTGTACCCCAAAGTAAAACGTTTCGTGACCACCCAGTGACTCTTTATACCTTAAATTCGTTACGTAATACTTGAACTAAGGGTGTAGGGTGGCGACTGGTTTGCCCTAAATGAATTGTAACATTTTTGTATTATTTTAAATGATTTTCTATTAAAACATATGACCCTGTGAAGGATTGAGGAACTGATCCTTCAACGTAAAGGGAAAAGGGAAAGGATCCTCCAGTGTAACTAGTAACTACTGATTGGCTAGAAGCAACCAGAATAAATTCGTTAGCGCGTTCCAGGATGATGTCACCGAAGTAATATATTCAATATATTACTAGCTGACCCGGCAAACGTCGTTTTATTATTTCTAGGAAACATTTTTTTTGTTGAATTTAAATAACTATCTACTATAATAAAAAATGGGCGTTGGCCGTTGATCGTAGAGGGATGACAATTTAGGGTTGTATCTATTTTTGTACGCTGTATCATAAAAAAATAAAAACAATTTTTTTTTTCTAAAGAATAAAAAATTTTTTTTTTGGGGTGGACACCCCTTATCACTTAGGGGGTTGAAAGATAGATAGTAGCCGATTCTCGGACCTACTGAATGCATATAAAATTTGATAAAAATCAGTCAAGCCGTTTCGGAGGTGTTTAAATGATTATAGTTTTATGTTCAACCAATAGATGTCGCCTGTGGAATCTTGAATCGCGATATTGTTTTGATTTAAGAACAGTATAACTTTTTCGTTGTATTTATATAAATGGTGTTTTTCTTGTTAAGGAGGAGTAGCGTAACAGCTGTAACTAACATTGTGACACGAGAATTTTATATATCATATGGATAAATTTTTTCATGTTTTCGGATAGGGCTAAACTTATTAAACACATTATTCCACAACTGAGCGTTTCTTTAGGCACTTACTACTTAGGCAGTTTTTGCCTCGCACCACCAATATCAAATACCTATGTGGAACCGGCTGCCCACGGAAGTATTTCCGAACCAATTCCATTTATAGTCCTTCAAGAAAAGAGCGTACCAATTCTTGAAAAGCCGGCAACGCATTCGTAGCGTTCTGGCATTGAGTGTGTCCATGGGCGGCGGTATGACTTAACATCTAGTGAGTCTCCTGCCCTTGTGTGTTATATAAAATAATACACGGTAACTACTTTGTCATATTATTTACATCACGTTTCGAGTGCTTTCCACCATTGGTAATTATTTCATATAAATATTACGTACCTATTAGCAAAAATACCCATACTTTTGGATTCTTCTACGTATATTATAAATTTGAAGTATGTTTTCAGAACCAGTGGAGCCCTTCGCCGACACAAACATTACAGACATAAAAAGAATAGAATTACCTGCGATATTTGCTTGAAGTCATACGTCACCAAATACTATTTGAGGAAGCACATTCAATTGTAAGTATTTTACTCAGGTTGAATTTCTTTTTATAACATTTTTAGGTCTCGGAATAGGGTTTCATGAATTATGTATTTATTTTAATATTATACAGGGTGTCACATAAATCAACATCAGGCCGAATATATGACAGATTTTGGCTTACGCCAAAAAATTAATATCTCTTATTTATTAATTAACTCCAAGGTTTTCAAAGGTTTTTTGGTGTCGCTGTCTTTTTAGTCTAGAGTATAGAGCAGAGTTGGCTTAGTGGCTTATGCGTGCGACTCTCGTAGATTCGATACCTGGCTGTGCACCATTGGACTTTCTGTCTATGTGTGCATTTAACATTCGCTCGAACGGTCAAGGAAAACATCGTGAGCAAACCTTGCTTTAGACGCAAAAAGTCGACGGCGTGTGTCAGGCACAGGAGGCCGATCACAGACACTGATACAGAAATCTGAGGCCCAGACCAAAAAGTTATAGCGCCACTGTTTTTGTTTCTTTTATGGATAAAATTCACTTTTTCAGACAACATTCGGGAGATAATTCCTTTAGTAAATGGCAGGAGTCCCGGTGCAATTACAAGTGTGAGGAATGTGGTAAGGCGTTCTCGGCCCCGTCTCAACTTAAAAACCATATGATTAAGCACTCTGACACGAGGAGCTTTTACTGCGTTGAGTGTAATAAGTATGTATTTTTTCTTATAATGTGAATCCAATATGTAGTGAATATTGTATGTAAGTTGTTCGTGGCATTTATTTCCAAATATGACAAATCAATTTTTTGTCGTCTGTTCGTTTTTTAGAACACAATAGTCTTACCATTTTAAATTATTAATCTTTTATGGAGATCGCTAACTCTTTATTATACTCGATTACGATATTATATTATACTAAGAAAATAAATAAATAAGATAATGGGCGCTCTTTTACCCATTTTTTGTGTGGTTTAAATGCGAATAAAGATTTATTAACAATCGATTATTTCTCATTCATTTCGATATACAATTGCCAAACGATATAGAATATAGATATTTATTCTGTTAACTGTCATGTAAAAGCTATAGTAGTTAGTCTGTGCAGAAAGAGAACGCTGCAAATGCCTATTTTATTGACAAGTTGAAATTTTTGACAGGTGTCGTGGTTTGACTGATTTCAAGCGCCATTTAAAATCGTTTTTGTAATTGTCTTTTGTATATGTACTATAAATGGCTGTGTTTACATTTTCGTGCCTTTTATTGTTTTATTTTAATGTATTTTTGTGTTACTCACACACAAAAAAATATCTTGTATTTGTGTTGATGTAATGTTTTCTTATTGATAAATAAATAAACACTGTTGGGTCATTATAATTAGATAGTAAACTTGATACTTGATAAACTATAACTAATAAATTAAGCATTATATATGTCCGTCAAACGGCCAAGCCTGTTCTCTTTTCGGCACAGACTATACTGTCGTTATATCCGATACAAGTAATAATATCTATCGAATAGATTTGTTGCTAATTTATAGATTATATTGTTTTCAGAACGTTCAAAACCGAGATATCTTTAAATCAACATTTAAAAACGCTGCCACACGTCGAATACTCTGAATTACCGTGAGTAATAATAAACCAGTGGCGCTACAACTCTATAAGGGTCTTGGCTTCAGATTGCATCTGTTTCTTTTGATCATTTTTATTTCATAGACAAGTAGATTAGGCTTCTGTCTGACGCATGGCATCTAATTTTGGATTCGAGACTTGTCGGTTTACCTTCACCGTTCGAGCGAGTACTAAATGTATGCATAGACAGAAAGTCCATTGGTGCACAGCCGAGGATTGGCTTTCAGAGGGCCTATCTGAAAGGTTGTAGCGCCACTTATAAAAATATTATTTTTATAGTTTCTATCACGTTCACGATTGTGAAGGTGTATAGATATTATAGTATATTAATTAATAATAATATATAACCATAGATTTATTTTTAGTTGGTAACTGTTATTACTTATTAGTCACGATCTTAATGAGGTTTACGTTTCTATTCTTTATTTATTTTCTAGATTAACATTTTTATGTTATAATATAATTGAAGTGTACATGTGTGTAAAATTTGTGAAGTCATATTTTCTTGTACAATTTAGGCATACATGTTGTTTTAGGACTTATAAATAAATATGACAAGGTTCCAACAATTCGTTTTTCCACAGCCTCCAATGTGACCAATGCGACAAGCGATTTCGTGCTAAAAGAGATTTAGCCAATCACATGAACAGAATACATCTCGGGACAAAACCTTATCAGTGTGACAAATGTGAAAAGGTATGTTTTACTAGGCTTGCTTGGAAGATATCGCTCCTTCGATAAGGTCGTAGTTGCCTCTAATAATTTTTATGTTATTTGTTTTTAAATGTACTATTAATGTAACAAATTGTTAATATTTTTAAAGGTCATAAACGCGAATTTACGTTATTTCAAATCCATAAAAAAACGTATTTTTGATTCGAAATTCACTACTTGGGTAGCTATTTAACTAAAGAAAGATGCAACTATAATTATGATTTAATTATTATATATGAAATACAGTAAACTATATATATGTACTATGTATTGTATGTACAATTTGATTTTATATGTAGATTTGTATTATTTAAGTTACAGTTAACAGTTGAAGTACTAAATTATAATTTGTAAATTGCGGCAACTTTCAAGACTGAAACTGTCACCCTCACCATGCTACAGTGCACATACTATAATATGGTATAAGACGACGATTTGATCTTTATTATGTATTCCTTTTTTTCTAGGGTTATGCGGACCAATGGAGTTTGACAGAACACATTAGGTATAAACACGAAGGGGTGGTAAAACCTAGGAAATACCCATGTACTATATGTGATAAAGTATTTAAGGTAAGTTTTAAAAGTCCAATAGTGGACAAGTCTAGGCCAGGCATTTCAGAGTTGAGACTTGACGCGAACAATGACTCCGGTGTGACATAATCCTTAAATTGTTTGACATAATCAAACAGGCAGGAGGCTCATCTGATGTTAAGTGATACCGTCAATAGACACTTACATTGCCAGAGGGCTCGCAAGTTCGTTGCCGGCCTTTTAGAATTGATACGCTATTTACTTGAAGGACCCTAAGTCCGATTGCTTAGGAAATACTTTAGTGGGCAGCTAGTTCCATATAGTGATAGTGAGCGGCAAACTGCATTAAAAACGCTCTGTTGTATACGATGTCTACTTTCTTTTCCATTATAGTGCCACATACTTTTCTTGGCCGGTGCTGAAATTGCTACTACCGTCGCCTTTTTGAAATGTCAGACAATAATTTTACTTTATTTATTTTTTACCTTGCATTATTAATTAAAATGGCAGTGTTCCTAACTTTTTGTCACTTTTATTTAAGCCTAGGACTGTATTTTCTAGATACTAGTATACATTGTTATATTAAGACATTTCAATAAATTATTAAATTAGCCTGAATGACTATTATTCGAGTTGATCACTTGCCTTAGAAATTATCACGGAACAAATATAAAAATCTGAGGCCAAGACCTGAAAGGTTGTAGCGCCATTGGTATATATGTCACCGTAAAATTGTAAACACCGTTAGATTGTAATCTATCTCGCGAGATTGTGAACTGTCGAAAGATTGTGAACTCAACGTACTGCTTACAATTTAACGTATTATTATTCGGTAGATTGTAATCTATCGAAGTGAAACCGTCAAATTGTGAAACGGATCGCACCTCGCGCGCTGATTGGTTGATTTGATAGTGTAAATTGATATTGTGTTGAAAGTAACTCACAGCTTTAGAATTAGTTATATGAAATTGTTGGGAAGTAAAATTAATCTGTGATTGACCAAAGAAGTTTGAATGATAACTAAGTTAGTGTTGGAAATGAAAAGAAAGAAAATTTCATTACTTTTTCAATTTTAATTTGTTTCAGGAGAAATTATTGTTACGTTTCTGATTTTTTATTTTCATACAATTTTTTTTACCATGTGATATCAGAATTATTGATTACCTACTAAGTAATAAATAAATACTTGATGTCACAATTCTTGAAGTGCATTCAGTTAATTTGACTGATACCCGTGTTTCATTCCTAACTCTATGGACATAGAACGGTTTACTATAAAGCCGACCAATCAGGGACAGCCTTCGGACAGTTAACAATTTGACAATTTTAAGATTGTAATTTTACGGTTTCACTTCGATAGATTACAATCTAACGGTGATTACAATTTTACGGTGACATATATAAACAATCTACTTAATATATTAATAAAAGTTAAAACATGGAAGAATAACGGAACTTTCCTTTTCAGACAAACAGTACATGCAAAATGCATATACGCACGCACACAGGTGAACGCCCATACAAATGTACGAAATGTCCGGCGTCTTTTTCACAATCAGGAATCTTAAACACACATGTAAAATTAGTGCATCTAAAGCTGACTAGAGACGGAAGACCTAAAGTCAGCGCAATTGATAAACCGCGATATGATTATAATTAAATATTATATTTTCTTTATCATTATAATTAGATGTTGTAATTTAATGATTAATTTGTTAGATTTACAGACTCGATTTAAATAAATTGTATTTATTATCATTAATATTATCTTTATCAACATCGTTATAATATAATTGTGAAACTTCCAATAATTAACTTTTAAAAACTGGTAATTCAATTCTTATTTGTATTATTGTTGATATGTATTACGGTTTCATGATTATCCATTACGGAATTGTAAATATATTTATTACCAAACTTTGTTTTATTATTATGATTGTAAAAACAGAGAGATCCCACTGAAACGACTACGACATGATTGCAGGCATAATAGGCATGAAGCTACAGGAAAAGTGTTCTAAGACTTATACAAAAATACATAAAATTTATCTATTTGCCAAAATACAATTATTTTATAAAATTAGTTTGTTAGGATTTACTTTTATTATACTTTAAAAAAAATGTATGTATATACACAGATTTTAAGTAGTGTCTGACTGATCTCCGAAGTCCTAGGTTCGAGCGCTATATCAATGATTTTTAGTTTTATGTTCGCATTTAACACTAGCTCGTAGCGTGAAGGTTAACATTGTGAGAACACCGACATGCCTTAGACCTAAGTCTGGGGTGTGTGTCAGGCAAGACTGACCATCTACTATTTGAAGAAAAAAAATTACGAAACGGATATAGAAAAGACTATGCCCAGGGGTTGTAGCGCCATTGTTTTTTTATAAGTATAGTAGTTTAATTAATTATAATTATATGGTTACCTACCTATTACTGAATATCGGAATATACGAAAATAACTTATGGTTTTTTATTTTAACTAAAGATTTATTCATTCACAATTACATACACTATCTTTACAAACCAATACGAGAATGTCGAAAAAAATACTAATATTGAAATCGATTATTAAAATCTAAATAAGTAACAATCAAATACAGTATTTCAATTTTCTTAACCTACATAGTAAAAATAAAAATAAAATTAATTAATTAATTATCTAGCCTTGTCGGTGTATATATTTAAGATACTTACGGGTCCACACTGGCTGAGTTCACAAGAGTTGCTTCCTATATTATTAGTTATAAGATGTAGGTATATAAATATATATATTTTTTTTAATGTTTTTTATCTAGGTTAATTGGTGTGGGTACAAATGTTGTGTCGTTCTATCGAATTAGTAATTACTGTAATGATAGAATAATGATATGGAATAAATAAATAAATCTTACTATACTCAATATCGCTACTACGAACATATAAAGATGTCGATAGTGTCGGAGACATTCAGTAAGCGCAACGTATTTGTTAACTGATTCTTGCCCTTGGTATAAGCAAACAAACAACCTTGGCCTTCGCCGTCTCACATATCCCCTAGGTACAAAGAAACCGAGTTTTTTAAGAATACTTGGGTTGCTCACCACCGCCCGTAAGACAAGTAGATAGAAGAGTATACATGTATAAATTTGAGTTTGATGAAACGCGTTAATGTCTGATATCAAGGTTTAGGAGTTTACACCCTACGACCGAATTAATGCAGAACACTGCTAGTACAAAATCAAACTATGTTTCATTATATTAAGATTATTAGCTGAATCGATCCCGGCTAAAGAAACAAACGTGTCCACACTAAGACGGTTACAAGTAAAAAATCGACACTTTGTTACCAACGCATCCTGGTTTTTTATTTTGGACATGTTACACGCAGATCCAGAAAGTTTAGAAAACTCATCCTGACTGGCAGATTTGAGAGCACCAGACCTCGATGCCAATCCCCTACACGCTGGACCGATCCAGTAAAGACCATTACATATCTTACCATCACGAAGACGCAGAGGCTTGCCGTAGACAGAGGAGAGTGGAGGAAGGTGTGCGGCGCCACCAACACAACCTTCAAAAATGAAGAGTGCTACTAAATAAGATCTGAATCGGCTTCCAATTTAATAGTAATCATTGAAAGGCTGTCACGATTCCTCTATACTTTAGAATGATAACCTATGAACGTTCCACGACCAGTTCAAGAAAGTGCCTGAGAAGGTAAGAAGCTCTGTCACGATCAGAGCTCTTACTCTGTAACTTCCAATCGCAATCATGAGTTTTGTATGGCGCGGTCCCAAGGTTGCGACATCTCGCATACAAAAACATCGGGAATCAGAATTGGTAGTTACAATGTTTTTTGAGTTTTGTTGAGAACTAAAACATTTATATTGAAGCACCTTAACGACTTAGAGAATTCTGTACGATATAGACTGAGACTGAGAGGTCTAAGGTTTGCTTACCGGCGTAAAAATAATTTCAGACACAAGTCTGATCAGACCCAGCTTCAGTAAAACCATACTACTACACAGTTGCAATCCCTAATCTATACTCATTCAAATCCTGATTTTAAAATACCTCTGAATAGAAGATAAAATTAACTAGCTGTTCCCTGCCACGCTTCGCTGTGGCACATTGTGATTGAATTATATATGCTAAAATTTCGGCTCGATCGTTGCAGAACTTTTTGAGTTTTTGAAGCGTAAACAAACCAACATAAAAATGTTATATATATAAATTTGAATAGGTTTATTATAAATATTACAATAATAATCGAACGCAAGATTTTCCATGGTGGAGCAAAGCTCGCGCATGTACTGTTTGTAGACAGAAACCAAATCGTAAAACTTAAAACTGCAGAGGCCTTGCTAATTTCAACCCTGGCTGTGCGCTCAAACCCCTAATTTGTACTATTGGGTTTGTATTAACTCATTATATTGAGTAGGTATTAAACAAAAATTACCGAGCATCCGTGAAGCCGCATCACTAATTTTCCTATAAAAGCTTGATCTCTCGGAATTTATATTAATAGGCATGTTGTTGAATAAACATTACCAATTGAAATTATTTCAATTGATATTGTTTAAAAACTATCGATTTTATTTAATGTACTCTGGTACCAATGTATAATGGGGCAAATAGATCCCACGGGAGCGACGGAAAACATCCTCTCAGCCCGGATGTAAGAGATCCGCTGTGGTACAGGCAATAATATCTACGAACACGTCCGACGATCTGTCAGAGTATTTGATATTTTAACCTACTATGATAAAAATTAAGATTGTAGTATTTCAACATTATCTTAAGATGTATGAAAATCGTAGTAACTTTGTTTCATTCTTCCTTTAACGGTCATGTTAAAAACTACTATATTTACAGTATATGTTTCAAGCTATAATTTCTAAAATATATGTCAATTTTGGTAAACATAAATGTTACAAAAAATAAAATTTCTAGTAATTTTTGCTTATTACAAAAAAAATTCATCAAAACAATGGATTAGGTATGACATTATTATATAAAGATCGATAATACACCGCTAGTTAATTGTGGCCTTAGTAAGGCCTACAAGCATACAATTCGAGTAGCCTACGCAGTCCACTAAGCAGTGTTGACTTCAGGGTGCCCAGGACCTTTATATGCTCATTTAACACTCTCGTACGGCGAAAGAAAACCATGAGGAAACCATCCCTTAGACCCAAAAAGTCGACGGCGTGTTTCAGGCTCATAAACCTGATCAACTACATGCCTATTAGTTAAAAACAATTAACCACAAAACAGATACACAAATCTGAGACCCAGAACTTAAATTATTGTAGCGCCACTACTTTTTTAATGCACTACACTTATTCAAAGTTTCAAATCTATGTATCTCAGAAATATGTATATCTAGAATGTATAATTAACTATGAAATTTATTTATAGGAAGTTAAATATAAGACTTTGGGATCCTTACTTATGTACTAAGCCGTCTTTATGCTTATTTTTATATATAAAAACGTGATATCTATAGACATGTCCCGCCCGTCTACACCCCTGTAAGTCCTGTCACTTTAAAGCGCACGTTAACACATAGCCAGTCGGAAAACAATTACTCATGACTTCCTTACTTCCTAACAAATTTAAGTTTGACGCCTAATTCCTATATCCTACTTACATATTACCCCAGAGGTCCGGGGTTCAGTTACCCGCGAAACACGTGTCTAGTTAGTAGTTAACATCTTGTCCATAGTCTAAAATGATAGAACAAGTTAAAAAAAATTAAATTTCGAACATAATTATTATAAAAAAATTAGAAGTAGTTTCTATTTCCGGGTTCTCACCAAAGCATCAAAAAAGCGCGAATCGCAGGTGGTAACTTTAATTTCATTGGCAAATGTTAAGGTTCCTACCTTTTACTATTGTGTCGTACCTTTCAATATATTTTAATAGTATAGTAATAAAATAGGCTCCGAAGAACCTGGAATGTTTTACATAACATGCGGGTCCTACAATTAATTTGGACAATGCGTTTGACATTGTTTCCATTCCATTTCGACCTTGTATCGATCGTTTGACCCAGTTCCCACGGTGTATGGGACCCTTAAGCCATACAGAGTCCCAAATTCTTCCTTCTTCTTGTGTAAATTAAGCCTTATTTACGCGTACGAAGATTTTCTTTGTCATCAACGATTTAAAGTCACCCTTGCCCTTGCCTTGGACCTAGAAAGTCGATGGCGTCTGTCAGGTAGACCTACTTGCCTATTAGATTGACAAATGATCATGAAACAGAAACAGAATCTGAAGTCAAGACCTAAAAAGAATATAGCGCCGCTGGTGTTTATTTATTTATGTTACACTATTTATGAGTTAGTATTAAAACTGACTTAAATTAGGTTACTGCTGTTAATAGCGTTAATAATTGTTATTATAGTAAAACCCGTCTTGGGTAAGCGACTCATCCAATTCCTTCTCTGTTTAGTTTGGTGCAGTCACTATCTGCCAGCTCCACGAGATCATCCACCAACCTAACTTATTGGTATATTTAATTGAGTTTAAATAAAACGGCAATTTTACTGAGTAAAGGTTGTAGCGACTAGTTTTCTTTTATTTCTTCATACTGTTATCAATTCCGATATAACATTTGAAAGCTTTAAGCTATTATTAAAAAAGCCAGGGCCAAACCGAGTATGAAGTATG